GCCATTTTTATGTAAATTAAAAATGGGATTCTTATTTACATGACCAAATCTATAATGTCAAATGTATGAAAATTTCACATTATATATTTTGTGTTTCTTGTCATTTATATTGAGAATAGGATCATTAGTAATCAAAATATAATGACCATAAATGCATGGAACAATACTATATAATATTCCATTAAGAGAAAAAGAACAACAATTACTCTTTTATGTAATAGAAAAACTTTCTAAATCCAAAAGAGAAATAGAAATGATGTTTCTAGTATATGCCCACTTGGTAAAGGAAGATAGTAAGTTTCTACGGCTAGTGTAGCAACTCTTACTCCTTTTGTCAATGAAATATTTTGTCTCAATTCCTACATATTATTACAAATATGGAATGATGATCCAGTATCTAAAAATTAAGAACTAGATTTGAAAGTAGATAATATTTCAATCATAAATGTACCTGAAGTAGAAACATCAACATGCTTCTTTTGCTTCAATGAGTTAAGATATAACTTATAGTTCTCTTTCCAGTGGCCATTTTTGCCACAACAGAATTGACCTTCTTAACGTTAGTTTTAGACCTTTTCTTGATTTTAGAAGAGTTAACAATCATTGTCACCCCTGCTTTTTTTTTAATATTCTGTCCTTCGCAATTTTTAGTATATTGATCAATTCTATGAGAGGAACCTCCGTTTTCTCATATTGAACTTCATCACAAATTGAGAAATGCTTTCCAAAAGAGATTAGAGAATTAAGTTAAAATTTAATTCAGTGGTCCATGTTAAAACCTGAATTATTCAATTTATTGATAAGATCAAACATCATTATGTTATGATTAACAACAAAATATCATTCGGCTATTTTGCATTTGACTAACTCTTTAGAGACATTATATCTGTGAGAACCCAAAAATTTTCACATTTTCTCAGCATTATTTTATTTCTTTGCCTACATTTTATACTTTCCTTGGAAATATTAAAATTTCTATGCATTTTTACAAGCAAGTACAGTTTTAAAATCATTTTTCCTAGTATGAGTTAGTGTACATTAATTTGAAGTGCGTTATAAACGTGGGACCCGCTAGTGCGATATAAGTTTGGTGACTAAGTGATTTTTGTGCTAAGTGTTACTATTATACAAGGTGTTAGAGGATAATTAGAGGTTTGTTATATGATGTAACCATTGGAAGCCAAAGGATTAGAGAAAACACTAGAAGGGCCAAGTGTTGCAAAACCATTGGAGGTTGGACTTTGACCTCATTTTCACCTTTACTAAAAACCAAATTTTGACCCAAAATATCTTTATTTTTCTTGCTTCTTGGCCGACTCTGTTGAGGGGAGAAACAAGAGAGAGCTCTTCAATTTCTTGCTTCCAAACTTGCTCAAATCTTGAGTTTTAGCCAACTAAATTTGAAACTACACCATACAAGTGCTCAACTAGGAAGCTTGATGGTTTTGGTGGAGTTGTTTTGGAGGAGGAAAGACTAAACCACTACTTTCTTGTGGTTTTAAGGTATCTTGCCAAGAAATCTCTCTTTACTTTTAATACTAGATTCGTTGTTAGCTTATTTGTGGTTCAAAGGTGCTTGTAATGCTTATATCAAGTGATTTTGGATGGTTGGGGGGTGATGAATTTGAGTTAGGGTTTGAATGATTCACTTATCATACTTATTGTGTGGGTGGTATATGATGTATATAAGGTGGTATAAGAGGTAGTAGTGATGGTTTCAAGCTAAAAATGAGATTTATACCTTGATTGTAGCAAATTTCCAGAATTGAAGTTAAGGTATACCCTGTTCTGCCCGGTTCTAGTTCACCATGTTAGAGGCCGAATTAGGCTTGACCTAAAACATGAAAGTTGTATAGAATGATGTTTTATAGTTACCTACAAAATTTCAGCTCAATCGGAGCAACATAACCTATGAAAAGACCGAAATACCCTGACTGCCTAGGTGAATCCAGTGATCAGTTTTGAATATTTCACCAATCCGGTCGGTCTTTTCACCATGATATGTACTAAACTGGTATTTAGCCAAAACATGAAAGTTGTACTATTATGCCTTAGCTTCCCAACGCCACTAGAAATGCCTCAATCGGACTTCGGTAGCCTGAGTTATTATCGTTTACGCATAGTGTGGTTAACTGACCTGTTTGTGAGATTCTGGTTCTGTAATTTGAAATTTTGACCTAGATACACTATGAACTAGACTAAGTAATCTTCATCAAAGTTGTAGGTCTTTGTCTTAGCTTCGAAACGGTATAAATTGGACCCCAGTCCGATAAGTGTAGCTTCGGTAGTGTCCGATACACTAAGCGACGTCAAATCTGTCTTTTGTTTTCCAACTTAAACTTCATTTCCGCACATGTTCCTGGCTTGATTTTGTACTTGTATGACTCTGAGCCTATTGAACGGCTATTATAATGAGCTTACATTGTGTATGACTTTGGGACTGATTGAGGAAAAAATGAAGCCATAAATGGCTGGAAAATAGGTAAATACAAAGGGCGTGCTGCCCAAATTGCACCTGAGGGCTAGGTAGATGTACTCTTTTCACTTCCAAAACTATATTTATACTTTGTACAAGTAAATATTCGAATTTTCTTTGATTCACCTAAACTTTGAGGGTTTAACTGTAATATTTTCTCTTGGTTATTATTAGGGTTTGTTTAGCTTCTTTTTCATATGATTTTACTGAAGACACTTGTTATACGTTATTTCTTTGCATATGAGTTAGTTTCGGACCAAACGAAGAGCTTTACGAAAATTTGAACAACTGTCTTTTCATATCCGGACGTATTTTGAAGTGACACTATTAATTTATTTTCAATGGAATTTTCTAAAAACCTTTTTGGTATGGTTTTGTGTTTGATTTGGGAAAACTCTTAGTTACTAATATCCTCTAATCTAAATATACACTTTTCACCTTAAAACTCATATTTATGTAATGCACTAATACATATTTGGATTCTCTTTGAATCACTTAGGTTTTTATGATTGAAGCATAATGTGTTCTTTTGATTACTATTAGGGTTCCTTGGCGATTGAGGGTGTTATCCGGAAGGATATTTTGGACGTTATTTTACGTAAAGAGGTGAGTGTTCCTTGTTTGTTATATTTTCCTTGACTTCATGGCTTGTGTTATCATTTGATAATGTGTTAACTGCTTTCAATGATTGCCAAAACGAGTTTTCTAGGTGAGTGTGTACTTTATCGCACTCGACCTAAATGAATGTAAAATTTTCAATGATTCAATGATTGAAACGTTACTTGTGCATGAATGTAAGCCTTTTGGCTAAACTGAGCCCTGCCCTTCGTTACCGATCGACTTGAGCCAGAAGCGGACTCGGTCGGGCGATATGGTGACCCTGGGTGAACGTTTGGTATACTCGAGTATTATCTTGTAGTCTGGTGGAGCCTGGCCAACGTCCAGGAGGGGGTGAATGAAATGAACGAACGAATGTCAATGCAAATGAGGGGTTTTATTTATCAAAATGCATTTTCAAATGATTGGAGGAATAAGGGAATGAAAGGAGAATGAATGAATGAATGAATAAATGGCTCCCTGTGAGCACGTATCCTTTTAATAAATGTGTTATTATCGTTTTATATTGTACATGTTTCTTGACTTATTGTTTGATTATTGCTTTTACTGGACTTATTGTTTGATTATGTGTTCGGAACCTCACTGAGCTTTTAGCTCATTCCTTTAGTTTTGTTTTCCTTAACAGGGGAAGGTGAGCAAGGACAAGAGCTTTGTATAGACTAGCTGAGTCTAGTTCTTTGAATTTTTTGTAATGGTTCTCGCCCTAGCGCTTGGCATGGGTTGGATGTATGATGAATTGAGAACCTTGTATATTTGAGTCTATACTCCCTTTTGAGATAGAAATGTACATAAGGTTGCTCTAAGTTTTGGATTGTTATTATGTTTCTTTCTTGTGGTTTTGTTTCGAATGTGATTGAGGTATGTCTGAGTCCCGGCGAGAGTTGGGCAGGCGGTCCACCGAACCCTTTGGTTCACCTTAGGGTGAGGTGGTGCCATCACAATATCGCTCAGTGTGAGATTGCTCCTCAAAGAACTTCTTGAGGTGCTTAATCATAAAATAGGCATCTAATTTTTCATATTACTTCTGAAACTTTGAATTCATAGATACTAACATTATGTACTAAGTCAGATCATAGGACCTCTTTTGTTTTTTATAAGCACTTATGGTTGCTTTAGATGCACCCTTTTACTTTTAACAATTACAACTCCTATAATTCCTAAATAATTGGATTATCAACTCTTGACTTGCACATCTAATGTGTCTTCCAACTCTTGTCTCTAAAATCTATGACCTTGAGTTAGCCCAACAAATCACAAATTTTAGTTGAACCATGACCCATTATTCCAAAATCTTATTTCATAGCAAAACTTTCTCAAAATGGACAACAACCTTGAGTTAGTCCAACAAGTTGTAATCAATCAAGAAAACAGTACTTGCCATAATAATAGGAGACAACTTTTTAACAACTCTTGTTAATGTGACTTAATATTAATTTGAGAGATTTTCTTGTTTGATTAATAGGACTCATCTTTAGCATGCATCCAGTTTATTAGGTTATACAACATAAAACAAAGTAGACATATTAAATTAATGAACATGGATGATTATAGACTTTATCTAAACTAATTTCCTTGAGTCAATAGGAAACTAGATAGTCGAATCCTAAGGGTAATCTCCAACGCTTTAAGATCCACTTCCATGATTGCTCCTTGACGCCTCCTTCCAAACTTGCATTATGTGACGACCCCACCTCCCCCTAATGCGAACTCAAGGATTTGGCGAAGCGCCTACCCAACTCTCGTCAGGACTCACTCATATATTTTTTTGAAATAGTATTTCAGGCCTCTAGATTAACATAAAAATTTCCATTCATCCGAGAATTTTAACTTAATTTACAACCTAAGAGTGAAACATAGAATTTCATTACCAAATCTCAAAATACATTTCATCTACAAAAGTACAAGTACATGAAGATTATACACATTATTTCTGTGACAGCCCCACCTTACCATAAGGCGAACCAAAGGGTTCGGCGGACCACCTGTCCAACTCTCGCCAGGACTACGGAGTTAAATCACACAAACCCGATATAGCGCACAACAAATCCCCAAGAGAACAATCAATCGAAGACTTCTAAGTTGAGAAACATGAGTTCTACACCATAAGGTACCATGGTATTTCAATCAAACGCCCCAAAGGAAACGAAAATGAAGACGAAAATGCAAATGAAAAACGGACACATCACAATCCGGCCAAGGTATGGCCAGATTTTCGGCCGGATCGCTTGCCAAATATGAGGCAGTTAGTAACCCAAAAATTTTTCAAAACCCTTACTAATCCGGCCAGATATCCAGTTAAGAACTGGTCGGATACATGGCCAGATTTGGTGAACAGTTCCAGCCCGAATTTTCTTTCCTTGTTCAAATGCTGCGCTCGTCCGATCGTCCAATAGTTACAAGTAGCATCTCAACAAACGCAAAGGTACCATCTCCAATGAATACACTTAATGTACATGATAAAACACTTATATACATACATTGCAAACTTTACAATTAAAAACGTGATACTTAATTAAAAGACAATTAGGGTTTTGATTACACAAGAGCTAACAAAAGAACGTTTACACTAGTTCAACCCTTTTCTCAAAATCACGGTTCAAAGTGTGGTTCCCTGTAAGGAAAACAAAGATAATGAGGAGGGGGTGAGTTTACGCTCAATGAGGTACCAAACATATAGCAATAAAATCATGACATTTCACATTTAACCAATCAGATACACATGCCAGATATAAGGTAAAGCAGTTAGACACAGTAATTCAAATAAGAAGGATACAGGTGGCTCTCAGGAGCCAGATTTCCGTTGCAGTACTTGATCCAAATCCATTGACTCTCCGTCAACGTATATAGAACCAACATGTCCGTAAACCCCATTTTACGCCGAATTCCATCCACCAAACATACCCCTTACCGGGCCCGAACACCTCAACAGAAACAGAAGTGGTAATACTCAAATATACCGGAATCAGGGGTCTCAATACCCAAAGATTTCTAGAACAGACTACTGTGGTTCGTTATCAAATCGACCAGGCCCTTGCCGGCTCGACTCAAGTAACTTAGCCACAGGATTTGAGCTCAGAGGTCACAGAAAGGTCGTTGGATACAATCTTCCAAACGACGTCAGAACAGATACAGATACAAATAACAGATTCAAATTCGCATAGTAAATAGGCATACAGACAGACAAAAGAACGAGTGTGATGAAGTACACCCTCGTCTCAAACAGAATAAACAGATAATACAGTCATTCATATCACAGATTGCATGTACAAGAACCAAGTTAAGCAACAATGAAGGGAGTGGTACACTCACCAGTTCAAGTAAAACAAATTCAAACGTTCCCCCGCCGAAGTACTTCTTGGATCACCAGTACGTCCTAAAATGATCAAAGTAAAACAATTATAGTTCCTATGGGAACGACATTCACAAATGAAACTCAGTTATGAGTCATATGCCTAACCAAACGAACTACGAATGCAAGGGTGCAAAAGCGGGATTTTGGAATGAAAAGGTAACGAGAGGACCTAGGGCTTGAACGATCCAAAAGCCCTTCATTTCTACCAAAAGGCAACTCAAACTTAAAGGAACCAAACGGCCTAGAAAATTGGACAGCATCTCCCCTAAATTTGCTTACTTTTCCAGCCATCATGGCTTCATTTTTCCTCAAATCAGCCCCAATGTCACACACCAAATAATCTCATTTTAATAGCATTTCAATAGGCTCAATGTCATACAAGTACAAAATCAAGCTAGGAAAATGTCCGGAAATGAAGTTTAAACCATAAAACAAAATACAGATTTGACGTCGCTTAGCGTATCGGACACAATCGAAGCTACGCTTATCGAATTAGTGTGCAATTTATACCGTTTCGAAGCTAAGATAAAGGGCTACAACTTTGATGAAGACACTCAGTCTAGTTCATAGTGTAACCAGATCAAAATTTCAAATTACAGAACCAGAGTCTCACAATCAGGCTAGTTAACTGCACGATGTTTAAATGATAATAACTCAGGCTACCGAAGTCCAATTGAGGCGTTTTCAAGGCCGTTGGAAAGCTAAGACATAGCACTACAACTTCTATCTTTTGGCCAAATGCTAATTCAGTACGGATCAAGGTGAACAGATGCAGTCAGATTGGTGAAATGTCAACACTGTCCACAGAGCTCTACCTATGGCGGTCAGGGATATTTCTATCTTTTCACATGCTATAGTGCTCGGATTGAATTGAAATTTTACAAGCAGCTATAAAACATCATTTCCTACAACTTTCATGTTTTAATCTAAGGTTGATTCGGCCTCCATCATGGCCGAACAGAACAGGGTAAGATGAAACCCTAAACTAGAATTTCCGCACCAAACCAGAAATTTTCTGCAACCAATCATATCCAACATATACAAGCTCCATTTTGTGCTATAACAAGCCATCAATCCATGACTAAACAATAATTATCATATACTAATCAGAAAAATCACCAATAAATAAAAAATCTATCAAAACTCCACTTTCAACCATAAAACTTACCACAAATCAACATATTTAGCCACTAAAGCCACTAATTTAACATTATCAAGAACAAAGGAAGAATTTCTTTCACCTTGTAAACTCAAGAAAAATAGCAACTTAGGTCTTCCCTTTTCAAAACAACTCCACCACCTTCTTTAATCCTACCTAGCAAAGGATTTTTATGGAGTGATTTCAAGTTTTGGTAGTTGAATCACAAGATTTGTGCAAGAATGGAACAAGCAGTTGAAGCTTTCTCTTCTTTTCTCTCCTTAAGAGGTTCGGCCAAGGGGTTGGAAATAAAGATGATTTTGGATCAAAATTGAAGGTTTAGTAAAAGTAAGAAAGTTAGGCAAGTCCAACTTCCAATAGTTTTGTGACAAGTGGTCCTTTAGGGTTTCAATCCTATCCTTTTGTCTACCAATGGTAATTTATCTAGCTAATCTCTAATTGTATCATAGCACCTTGTAAAATAATATCACTTGATACAAAACTCCAATAAGTTGTCAAAAATATATCGCATTAACCGCACTAGCGGGTCCCACGTCAATAATACACTTCAAACTTATCATGAACTAACTTAAACTAGGAAAATGATTTAAAAACTCTATTCACTTATAAAATCTCTGGAAAAATTGAAATAGTAGGGTATAATGAAGAAAAATGCAGGTGAGGAAATAAAATAAATAATATATAAAATTAGGAAAATTTACGGATCCTCACAATTTCACGCTTACTTGCTCTGGGCTCCACTCCTTTAAGGAAAACAAAATTAAAAGAATGAGTTAAAAGCCTAATGAGGTTCTCAAACAAGCAGTCAAGTAGGTAAAGCATGGAAATATTACATTTAACATTTCACACACTTTGCACAATAATAAGCAGTCATTCAAGAAACAAACATTCAATCATTGTAAGGATACGTGCTCACTTGGAGCCATTCATTTAGTCATTCAGTCGCCGTCCATTCCCCTTATTCCTCCGACATTTGAAACATTTAAAAGTGAAAACTTCTTCAATGTTCATTTCATTCATTCATTCAGTCATTCATTTCAATCATTGAATTGTATTCACTGGCCAGTACTCTACCCGATTTCGTGGTTATACTCGAGTATACCAAACACTGTCCCAGGGTTACTAGCCGCCCGACCGAGTCCACTTCTAGCTCGAGTCGACTGGCAATAAAGGGCAAGGGCCCAGTTCAGCCAAAGGCTTACATTCATGCACAAGTAACATTCAATTATTTGATCATTGAAAATTCACATTCACTTAGATTGAGTGCGATAAAGTACACACTCATCCATTGAAAATACATTTAACAATCATTGAAAAGCATTTAACATTCAAGCAAACATTCACAACATTGCACATAGCCATTGGTAGCACGACATGCAAGGAACACTCACCAATCAATCGAAATCTTTCACTTCAACCCTGGTTCGTCCTCCTGAACTCTCTCGAGTCCTGTGGTCATATACTATATTAAAAAACTAACAATACAAAACCAAAATACATGAAGAAATTGAGGTTTCAAAACTTCATTTAGAAAATGAATCAATTTACAAGTTTTATACCCATATAATTTATCAAAAATATAACATTTTTTTTGTTCAAATCAAGGGGAAAACCTCATGTGCATACTAAATCAATGTTTCAAAAGTCATTTGGAGCACAAGAGTATCAATTATAATCAAACATTTGAGAAAATTAGAACAAGACTTTCAAAGTGCAAAATTGGAAATTGTCCGACTAGAAAATGATTTGCAGAAACTCATTTCTTTTCATTTAAATCTCTTGTCTTGGCTCAAAACTAACACACATGCAAAGAAATAGATTGTAATAAGTATTTTGGGTAAAATCATATGCAAGAGGAAAACAAAAATGCTCTAGATTTATACCTCAACCCTCGCTTGTTAATATCAAAGGAAGATCATGTAAATAAAACTTATATAAATAGACCTCATGGCTTAGTAACCCTATGCAAGATACATGCTCGCTCCTTTTGTTTTTGGAAAGAAAATGAGTAAATATTTTAAGTTTAAAACTTGACCTATGCAACTAAACATCATGTTTAAAATGGTCATCACATTCACCATGCAAAATGTATGAATTTTGGCAAAATTTCAGGTCATATACCACCACTAGAGTGGACTCAAGCATTCCTAAACAAACTAAGTCCAAATCATCCAAAAATCACATTTCTGCATTCACTTTCACTCACTTACACTATAAGAAAAGAAACGGGCAGCATTTCTCCTGTTTTTCCTTACATTTTCCCTCCAATTTCAAATCTAACTTTCATAGCCAAACAGCCCCAAACAAGTCCACAAGTGATAAGGTACAAGAGGTTGTTATTCTAAGCCACAAAACGAACTAAAGTAGGCATGTACCAAGCATATCTTCAACATATATCTAAGCTGAAAATTTGAACCCTAAGTTGGAATTTAACACCAAGAGCTATAAATCCTTCAAGTGAAGCCAAAAATACATGTACAAGATAGAAAATCCTCATGGCAGCCCAAAATTCATAGCAAGCTGGAAAATAATAATTCAAGGCTCGAAATTTCGAATGAAAGCTGGAAATTAACACTAAAGTTGGAAATTTGAATATAGAAGCTAGATAACTTCATACCAAAGCTAAAATTTCATATCTAACCTCATATCAAAACTAAACCATTCATATCAAGGCTAACCAATACATTCCAAAACTGAAAATTGCAACCTACTAAGTAAAACCATGAAATCTTCCGTAAAACTTCCATATTCAAGTAATATATCCATTAAAATGCAAGATTAAAGGAAAAAAGTAGTTCCTTGTCAAGAGTACTTTCAATCCCTAAGGAGAGTAGCAAACCACAGCTTTCTTTTCCCCAAAATAACTCCATACCAACCTCCTTCCTTCCTTGTTGCAACTTTCTATGGATGGATTTAGGGTTTGAGGTTGATTTTCCCACAAAATCTTGCTAGGAATCAAGATGAAACTTGAATAAATTTTCCCTCTTTTCTTCCCTTAGAAGTTCGGCTAAAGGAGCAAGGAAAATGATGGATTTTTCTTCAATTTTTCAAGATAAAGGCAAAGGCTAGTCTTGGTCAATGGGTCTTGGTCAAGGTGCTCTAGATAATTGACAAGTGGCATCACATGGTTCAAACCTATCTTTTTGTCTCTTGATTTATATCTAATGATTTATCTAACTTGTGTTCCTCCAATTCACTATTAACATTTCTAATCACATACTACCTCTAGTAGCACACTTGTTCTCGTCCACCAAAAATAACGTACACATCTCACTAGTCGGTCAAACTATCTTAATACTCTACAAAATTTAACATGCACTAAAATATAAAAGGGTAATAATATAAATCTTGACTCAACTAATAAAATTATCATAAAATTAAGGCAAGTAAAATAAAATAAAAGAAAATATAAATTAAAATTAAAATTTCCAAAAATAAGAGAAAATATAAAATAATTTTTTTCGGGTCCTCACACATTGCATGTTTGTAATTCTATCTAAACAATTTTAGAAAATTCACCTAATATAATCCTTACATAAGCCAAAGCCTAAATTCTTTCTAATCTATATATACATTACGTATAATAATGAAAGAAACCTCGAGTTACATTCAAGAGAAATTAGGTGATAAGAGAATTACATTGAGAATTTATAGAAAGGCATGGCATACAAGCCATATTTAATAAGTACCAATTATAAACATTCAACCATACAATCACATTGTTATTAGTCCATGATTATCCATTGTGCAATCATAAAATTCATCAAAATAAATGAAAGTATAAAAGCTAGAGGCCAGCCATGAAGTTATAGTCCTTTGTCTCATAACCTCCCCACACCGACTACTTCTCCGATTTAGTCTCCACCTCTCTCTTTCTATCTCTATCTCTACTTCTTTATCAAAACTTCTTCTACCTCCTTAAAAAGATGTAGTAACTTTTTCTTTAGAAAGGAACAATGATGATAGCTTAATTTCTCTAGTTTTTTTTATAAATAATGGTAGAATCTTTCCAAACAACACAGCCAAACCATTTACTCTTCACTTAAATACCTACACCTAGGGATGCAACTTCTTGTTTTGCCCTCCTTCTGACAAAAAATAGAGAAAATTGTAATTACTTCTCTTTATAATTGTCACCTCCCATCACCAGAATTGGTAAATTGGCCAAGGAGTCAAAATATTGGAGGGTAATGATAATTTATTTAATCTTTTAGGTGACAATTCATTTAATTTTTATGTATGTATTTTCCCCACTCAATTCTAAAGCATATTAGGCTTATTTTGTGAATTTTTTAGAGAACTAGGGCTTGATCTGATTGTGTAAAATCAAGAAAGAAGCAATAGGCGGATGAGGTTGAATATGTGCGAGGTGGTTTCTTTTTTACACCTCTTTCTTTGACTATCAATGGTAGATTTGATTGATCTCACAATGGATGATTTTGATACACACTTCTTTGAGGAGTTTTCTCCATATATCAATTGACTTGCTCTATTATTACATTTATATATAGGCTAACATACAGGATTGTGATACTTATTCCTAATCTTCAATTCCTTCTTGACATGAATATTTGGTATATTTGTAATTATTCTAGGATTATGATACTTATTCCTTTTCTTTTATTCCTTCTTCACAAGGATTTTATTTCTTTATATCACACTGATGATCTCAATTTGAATTCTAAATGTACTAAAAATTATTTTATATCTTTGGGGACATTCTGTGATGACCCCACCTCCCCCTAAGGCGAACCAAAGGGTTTTGCGGACTGTCTGCTCAACTCTCGCTGGGGCTCACTCACGTATCACTTCAAGAGCAAGTAAAGATGGGCCAGTCAAACTTAACATACATACAATCATTAACACAGATATACAATCCTCAAGGTTAAGTACGAAAGTTCATGATCCAACCAACTACTAATACTATCACTATTACACAACAAAAGTTCTAGTCAAAAGTTTAGTCTTCCTCCAATCACCTGTCCTTTATTTTAGACGCCATAAAATTTGGGTCAAAAGGTAGTCTAAAAAGGGTTTTTAAGAAAAGGGAGTTACCATTTGGTATTGAATTTAGGTATAACAAATCACCAAAAAAGTTTTTTAATAGAAAAAAAATGAGAAACTCCTTTTTTTAGAAAACTCTAGGTCTTTTAAAATATAAAAAGAAGATTTGAGAGTCACAGTTGAAGAAAGAAAAGGAAAAGGTTTAATTGGTTCAACTTGTTCTAAGTTAGTTGCAAGATTTAGTCAAAATTTTCCTAATCTAACTCTTAAACTAATCACATTTTGATGCTTTTATATAGATGCAATCTTAAACCTAGAGGGTCATTGAGACGGAGAAATTTTTCTTCAAGATTTAATTGGTACCAACACATTAATTATGAAACCCAATAATGATCCCTTAATGAGGTCACGAGTATATAAAAATGAGATTCAAAAAGTTAAAAATTATAGGGAATGTAGCATAACTGGTTTATGAGACTAGGACTTTAACATAATTTTTGATTTTGTGGAGGTTCAGTGAGGTGTTACGGCTAAAGAGGCATAATCATTCATTTCCATAATCAAAGAGGCGACTCTTCTAACCTAATCAAATAGATGAATTAATTTATTTTTAAATTTTCTAAATAAATCAAGTCTAAATGCAATGGTTTGAACACAAATGGGATAAGGGAATGAAAGAGGGGGAAATAACATGCAAATAAGAAAAGATCCTAACAATAGAAAAAATATGCATGAAATGAAATGAATGGCACACAATACATGAATCTAGTACGCAAAGGGCCTATGGATCTAGTATTAGATTAGTCCATTTTTACGAGTCACAATTAGGATTGGACTAATTTGGTGACTTCATGCATGCTTTATTTATAATAAAACATATAAAGTACAAACTAGAGGAACTAAACACATAAAAGTACATAACACATATGCATAATATCTAGATGCAACGGTCCTAATGAAAGTGAGTGAAGCACATATGTACATAAGCACATAATCCATATAAACAAACAAACATATCTATTATATTGGGAGTCCTAACTGAAATCTAAAAGGGGAAAAGATAAACCTATCTATTACATTTGACTACCTAATTACAACCTATACAAAAATTTAACTTATCTAATACATTTTGGATATTGAACTACCCTCCAAATATTTACAAGACTTAAATTGAATAAACAAATATAGAAAAATAAATAAAAACTCAAATTAAATAAATAAAAGAAACACTTAGAACATACAAATATACACAAGAGTACATAAGAACACCTCAGAAGACATAATCTAAATTTGAAGGGTAATAGGGGTATCTCTCTTTTGAAATAGTGTGTTAGCATAAATAAAATATCTCCTATTTAACATTATCTTTGAGATACTTAAAGAAACCATTAAAAATGCATTAAATCCACATTATTATGCTAAACATGCAAAAATAGCTAAAATGACAAATTAAATGCATGCAAGAAAAGCATAATTTAGGGAGGGAGGGATAGGTTGGATGTTTCGAGAGAAGGAAGTGTAAGCGAGAGGTATCGGGGTCGAGCTCTCCTACTTACGCTAAAAAAAGGAAGCATAATTAATAATTAAAGAAAGAAAGCAATTATAATTGAGAAATCAAGAAGCGACATGGGGCCAAATTGCAAAGATTAGAAAGTTTGTGAGGCTAAACGTAAATTTGTAAAAATTCATGGCAAAAATTAAATAAATAAAAAGTTTGGGATCGAAATGCAAATAAAATAGGGACCTAAATAAAAGAAATCTAAAATTTTTTAGCCAAAGTAAAATTACTCAAAAATTTAAGGGTTGAATTGCAAATCCAATTTGAAGAATAGGCTAGAAAATGGGTTTAGGTTGCTTTCTGGGCCATACTAGTTTTGCCCAAAAAATATACATACCATTTTATGTAAAACACAAACAAGTTCAATTGAAAACTCAAGCAAGCTCAAAATAGCAAACAATAAACATATCAAACTTAAGCACCGAATCCCAACCACATGTCCAAACAAAAAAAATAAATACAAACCCATCCTTTTATTTTTAATCTTTTTCCTTTTTCTATTCTTTTCCTTTATTTCCTTTTCTTTTTCAGCAAAGATGTGGAAGCAACCATGGCTAACTCCAGCAATAGCGCTGATGTCGATCACCATCGGCTACTGCAATGAAATTTACACCCCAAACTCCATTTTTTGTGTAAAGTTCATTTTTGGGATTAGTTTTCGTAAAAATGAATGAATCATGGTAAAAATTGACAAAACGGCCCGATTTCTCTCATCTCGAAAATACTCAAACCAAGCCTGAAAAATCACAAAAAATACACCAACATGCTCCTTACAAGATGAAAAACTCAAAACAACCACTTAATCCACAAGAAACAACCACGAAATCATAAGTTCATATGCAAAGATTAAAATTTCTATGAATCCCATTTACTTAAATTTAAAAGCTAAACCAAATGAAAATAGGAAAGAGAGGACCTTTATGGTGATGAGTGATATGGTGGTGGTGGTGGTGGTTTTCCAATTGACCTTGAACTACTCACATTATTTTGTCTCCTCTTTCTTTCCTCCCATTTTTTCTTTTTCTTGTGTGTGGTATGTGAGAGAGGGTAGAGGACAAGAGTGAGGTGTTTGTCTTGTATGGGTTCTGGAGTATGTTTCTAGTGAGAGGGAGAGCGAGCCAGGAGAGAGTGTTTGGGGTTTGGGAAGAGTTTTTCTTCTTCTTTTTTTCTTTTGAATTGGTGTCTATGTGTGTGAAGAGGGAGCTCTGTGTGAGTGGTGATTGATTTACTTTTGGTGGAGAGAGAGTCTAGAGAGGGGGATGAGGGATAAAGTGATATTAGTCTGTGTTGGTCATTTGAGGGAGTAAGGGAGCAAAGAGTGGTTGAGAGTGTCAGTGGAGTTGTTGGCAAAAAGGGGCAAAACTCAGGAGGGATGCATGTCTGCAAATTTTTGCATGTTTTACTCGAAAAGCAAAAGGGAAAAAAAAAAAACAAAGCAAGTGAATGTGAGAGGAATGATGATAACGAACTTTCTTCTCATCCTTTTTCCTTTGTAAACTTAAACAAGAGTCAGCTCTTGGGTTCTAGGTTTTAGGTTGATTGATTTTTTTGCATTTGGATTTTCTTTTTTTTTTTTTCTCTTTTTCATTCATTTTTCATTCATAATTTCTTCATCTTCTTCCCTTGTTGAATGCATTGTCAAAATTGGAGATGACTCCTTTTAAAATTTGTCCTTGTGTAAACCATTACAAACTAAAAAAAATTGCCCCAATTTTTACTTTTTACTAAAAATTTTCTTTTCATAGCTTTTTCTCAATTTTTCCTTTTTTTGTTTTTGTTTTTATGAATAAAATTTGCCCCTGTATACAATCATTAAATAAAAAAATTGCCCCAATTTCCACTTTCATTAAAAATTTTCTTTTTGCAAAATTTCTCAATCTTTTCTCTCTCTTTTTGTGTGGTAAATAAAATTAGCCCCAGTTTAGAATTGCAACCCAAAAGTAAAATGTTCTAAAAGTTTAATAGCAAAATTAAGGAAAATTTTCTTTCTCTGTTTTTTTTTTCTTTTCTAACAAATTTAGAGCTGGTTGCTAGAGTGAATGTCCTTTTCAAATTGATAAGCCAAGCCTCTATCCCTAAGGGATTATCGGGAGGGATAAAGTATCTCTTCAAGGTCTAAATGGTAATAACGTATTTATTGCGAATCCTAATAAGGATCCCTTGAAAGGGTCATTTGTATGCAAAAATGGAACTCAAAAATAAATATTATAATTTGTGATATAATTTTCCCTTTTATGAAGGTCAATGAGATGTTACGACTAAAAAGTCATAATCACACATTTACATACTCGAAGGGGTGACTCTTCTAACCTAATAAAGAAAATAAACAAACTAATTTATTTTCTAATTTCTTAAATGAAATGCAAATCTAAATGCAATTATTTGAATGCATATGGCGTAAGGGAATGAAATAGGTAAAATAACATGCAAATGAGAAAGTATCCTAAAATACAAAAGATATGAATGAAATGAAATGAATGGCACACAATACATAAATCTAGTGCGTAAAGAGCCTATAGGTCTAGTATTGCATTTGCTCATTTCTATGACTCACAACTAGCATTGGATTAGTGTGATGATATCATGCATTTCTTATTTATAATAAAACATATAAAGTATAAATTAAACAAGTAAACACATAAGATCACGTAGAACACATAAGTATAATATTGAGATACAATGATCCTAAGGAAAGTGAATAAAACACATAAGCACATAAGTTAAACAAACACACAAACCTATCTATTACATTGGAGGTCCTAACTACAATCTAAAAGAGAAAGGACAAACCTATCTATTACATTTGTCTACCTAATTACATTTGCAAAATATAATCTATATCTAATATGTCTTGGGTATTCAAGTACAATCCAAATAATTACAAGACTTAAATTGAATAAACAAACACAGGAAAATGAATAAAAGGTCAAAGTAAATAAATACAAGAAATAGAAGAAACACATATAACATATAAACATGTAGAAACACATAGAAAGACATAATCAGAATTTAAAGGGTAATAGAGGTATCTCCCTTTTGAAATAGTGCATTAGGATAAATGCAATATCTCCTATCTAACACTCAAAGCATAAACAAATACGTAAAGGCATCACTATCTTTGAAATACTTAAAAGAAACCATTAAAAAGGCATTAAATCCACGCTATTATGCTAAATATACAAAGGAACTTAAAACACCCAAAATGATAAGCAAAATGCATACAGGAGAAACATAATTAACAATTAAAGATATGGAACAATTATAAATAAGAGATCAAGAACCAATTAGGGACCGAATTACAAAGATTAGAAAGTTTATGGGGCCAAACATAATTTTTTCAAAGGATTATAGGCCAAATTTAAATAAGTAGCAAGTTTAGAGACCAATTGTAAATAGAATAGTGACCTAAATGAAAGAAATCTAAAGTTATTGGGTCAAATTAAAATTACTCAAAAGTTTAGGAATTAAGCTGCAAATCCATTTAAAAAAGGTCAAAAATAGGTCTTGGTCATTTCTAATGCTTGGGCCATACCACTTTGGCCTAGACAAAAAAATACAGACCATTGCATGTAAAACCAAACAAGCGCAATGAAAAACTCAAGCAAGTTCAAAATAGCAAAATATACAACTACAAGCCTAAATTAATAAATAATACAAGCCCATCCTTTTATTTTTCATCTATTTTCCTTTCTTTGCTTTTCTTTCTTCTTCTCTTTTTTTTAGCAAAGCTGCGTACTGGCCACCGTCCATCGATAATGGATTTCAATGAAATTTAAATTATGGATTCTATTATTTATGTAGAGTTCATTTTTAGGATTATCCTTCACAAAATGAATGGATCATGGTGAAAGTGGACAAAACAACCCGATTTCTCTCTCCTCCAAAATCACTGAATCAATTCCAATAAATCACAAAAAATACCAAAATGCTCCTTACAGGATTGGAAAATCAAAACAACCACTCAATTCACAAAGAAATAGCCTCGAAATCATAAGTTCATATGCAAAAATTAAAATTTTCTATGAAACCCATTTACCAAAATTTAATAGCTAAACCAAATGAAAATAGGAAAGAGAGGACCTTGATGGTGAAGAATGCTTTCATTTAGCCTTGAACTACTGACGTTCTTTTGTCTCCTCTTTCTTTCCCCCATTTTTTTTCTTGTGTATGGTATGTGAGAGAGGGTGGAGGACAAGAGTGAGGTATGTGTTTTGTGTGGGCTCTGGAGTGTGTTTTTGGTGAGAGGGAGAGGGAGTTGAGGGAGAGAGGGGGTGGGGTTAGAGTGGAGTTCTAGTTTGTGTTGGTTACTTGAGAGAGTGAGGAGCCAAGAGTAGTTCTAAGTGTCAGTGGAGTTGTTAGCAATGGGTTTTGAGTTGATTGATTTTTTCGTTTGGGTTTTCTTTTTTTTTTCTCCCTTTTTTCATTTTTAATTTTTCTTAGTCTTCTTCACCTTTTTTATTCTCCTAAATTCCTTTTTTCTTATTTTTGTTCAAAAAACCAACAAAATAAGACAAATCCATGTTAGAATGCATGAAAATAAATGAATGATAAATAGATAAAATTTTTTAGAAAATATTACTCCCTCCGTCTTATTGAAAGTGTCCTACTTTTCATTTTGGAATGTTTCAAAATATTTGTCTTGTTGACAAAGTCAAAACACCTTTTAGTCTCTCTTTCCTGCTTAACCCCTCCCTCTAATCATATGCATGTTATCATTTAAAGTCAAAATTTGAATTTGTAGAGATAAAATTGAAAAGTGAAGCACAAGCATCACAATCAAACCAATATTTTTAAAAAGTTCGATTCTTGAAATATGACCAAATAATTGGGATAGAGGGAGTAAAAAATAGTAAATTTTGGTGTCTACAAGTCTTATGTGAATTCTAAACTTATTCTAGGCACCCTTGTGCATTGTGTGAGGCAACTGAACTAGTATTTCATAAAAGTATTTACATGATGTATTAAATGTACTTAACATAGTCTAAAAAAAATACTTACATGATGTATCAAATTTATGACCATACAAGTATCTTTTACTGTGAATGTACCATTGTTGTACAAAATTTTTTTATTATTGCCACTACCTATAAATAAGTAGGCCAAAGAAGCATGTTATCCACTTATCGGGCTATTTAAGGAATTTTTTTAATAAATTGGGATAGTGGTAATCTATTATATTTGTCCTTTGCAATACATATACTATAAATTATGTGACAGCCCCACCTCCCCCTAAGGCGAACCAAAGGGTTCGACGGACCGCCTGGCCAACTCTTGCCGGGACTCAGTTGTACTTCAAGCAAATCCGAAATAAAACCACAAGAACCGAAATAAAGCAAGTTCGAAATCCAAAACTTAACGCGAAACTTATATACATTTCTATCTCAAAAGGGAGTACAAATTCAAGAGTACAAAGGTTCTCAATTCTTCATACATCCAGCCCGTGTCAAGGCTAGGGCGAGAACCATTACAAAATTCAAAGATCTAGACTAAGCAAGTCTATATATACAGAGCTCTCGTCCTTACTTGCCTTCCCCTGTTAAGGAAAACAAAACTAAATGAATGAGTTTAAAAGCTCAGTGAGGTTCGGAACACATAATCAACCAATAAGTTCATTGAAAGCGATAACCAAACAATAAGTCATACAATGAGGCAAGAAACATGTTCAATATAAAGCGATAGTAACACATTCATTAAAAGGATACGTGCTCACGAGGAGCCATTCATTCATTCGTTCATTCATTCATTCTCCTTTCATTCCCTTATTCCTCCAATCATTTAAAAATGCATTTTTGTAAGTAGTTCGCATTGACATTCGTTCATTCATTTCATTCACCCCTCCTGGACGTTGGCCAGGCTCCACCAGACTTCAAGGTAATACTCGAGTATACCAAACATTCACCCAGGGTCACCATATCGCCCGACCGAATCCGCTTCTGGCTCAAGTCGATCAGTAACGAAAGGCAGGGCCCAATTCAGCCAAAAGGCTTACATTCATGCACAAGTAACGTTTCAATCGTTCAATCATTGAAAATGTCACAATCATTTAGGTCGAGTGTGATAAAGTACACGCTCGCCTAGAAAACTCTTTTGGCAATCATTGAGAGCACTTAACACATTATCAAATATTCACAATAAGCCATGTAGTCAAGGAAAATATAACAAACAAGGAACACTCACCAATTATCCAAATAATTTATTCTCGAGCCTCGGGTCTGTTTCCTGGCTCACAGCTATTTCCTGAGACAAGTTAATAATTTCAAGGTAAATA